TGGCGAGTACACTGGATGTGTAACAGATGTATAATGAATGCATAAGCATGCATTAGTGTGAATAAATGCGTTTGCATGCACGTGGGAGAAATGATAAAGTCAAAAGAATATAGATCAACTCAACACCCCTAACATAAGGAATAAAGTCTCAAAAATCTTACCCTCCAGACAGGACCGGAGAAACCACTCGTGCAAACGGAGGATCGAAGGGGAAATTATCCTGCAGACCGACGAGAACAGATTCTTTATTATGGAAAAAAAGATCTACTTTCACATTGTGCAGAGAAGCACTTCTGATTCCTGAGTAATGCCCTGCCAGCTTCTACGGTTCTGTTCAAGAGCCAGGTTTAGTTATTTAAAAATAAAACAAGATTTTTTTTTAGAAAAAACATCATCTTAAACATCTTAAGACAAAATATGGATTTAGTTGGTTAAAAACCTTTTCAAAAGTGATAAGTATTGGTACGATAATGAAGCGGAGTGATTATTGGAGGTAAAAACAGCAATAGTCCAAATCACTGCCACAAACTCACCTTCTTAATTACAACGTGCCACGAACTAAACCTTAAAATAAACCCAAGATAACAAAATAAAACGCTATTAAGAATAAATAAAACTAACTTGTTGGATGAAAAAAAAAAACATCTATCTATCTATCATCTATATCTATCCATCTATATATATCCATCTATCTCTATCCATCTATATCTATCCATCTATATCTATCTATCCATCTATATCTATCCATCTATATCTATCTATCATCTATATCTATCCATCTATATATATCCATCTATCTCTATCTCACTCTATCCATCCATCTATCTATATCTATACGCTATTAAGAATAAATAAAACTAACTTGTTGGATGAAAAAAAAAACATCTATCTATCTATCATCTATATCTATCTCACTCTATCCATCCATCTATCTATATCTATCTATCCATCCATCCATTTATCTATCTATCTATATCTATCCATCTATATCTATCTCACTCTATCCATCCATCTATCTATCTCTATATCTATCCATCTATATCTATATATCTATACATCTATATCTATCCATCTATATCTATCCATCCAACCATATCTATAAATAATAAAGTTTCTTTGAATATCTATCCATCTATCTATCTATCCATCTATATCTATCCATCTATATCTATCCATCTATATCTATCCATCCAACCATATCTATAAATAATAAAGTTTCTTTGAATTGAATCTATATCCATCTATAGAAAATAAAAATAAAATAGTAGATTTAATTGTGAGTATTTTCCCCGGTCTGGTCTCAGCAGATCCAGCAGACTCACTTTGTACGAGAAGCTGAGGAGAATGTAGTCCATGCCTTCCTTTTCTTTCAGCACTTGAAGGTCACTGTGTAAAGGACTGTCCGGATCCACACTGAGCACAAGAGCAGCACAAACACCTTCTTTACCAACCCCAAACCTTCAGCAATAACACGCAAACCCAGAGGAACGGTGCTCTTACGTTCTCACTTTGACGTGCCACTCGTACAGGCTGTCGTTGACCAGCTCCACCGAGTAGATGCCTGGAAAAGAGAATAAATCTGATCAGAGAGTCGTGCCGGTCATGCTGTCATACATGGTCACTGCTACCTTACCGTTTTTATAACTCTGAGATCGGTAGATCTCCCTGAGCTCCTTCATGAGGCGATCCGACGCTTGAACAGATCCAGACACGGCGCCCTACAGGACCCGACAGAACACACCCCGTCAGTCACACCACAGACAACATACATGTTTTACATTTCAGGTTTATGATTATATGTTCCTTATTCACGTCTGCAACATTGTTCCAAAACTTCAAAATCCTCTGCATAATTGTGTTCCCCTTTTAAAAACTGCTCCTAAATCTCTCATTATTCCAGATCACCAAATATTAGATTTAGTATTTTTATCAACTTTGATCTGAGCTTATGCACTTCAGTTTTGAGTGAAAAAGCATTATTTGTGGATTAATTAATTATATATATATATATAAATTGTACATACACACATTTTAGCTTGAAAACAGCAAAATCCACCAGAAGGCAAGTAGTTTGCATGCTTGAACATTTCATTTCATCATCATTCACTCACTCTGACATCAAACCGAACTTCTGCACAATCATCACATCTCCACCTAATCAGACTGTGAAACAAAAGCCTCTATTTGAGACCCCGAAACATAAGGAAAGTCCCTTACCGAGTGAGCACTTACATTCAAGTGGTCCTGCCGCTGGTTCTTGCGGATCTTCTCCAGGATGGCCAGGTTCTCCTTCTCGATCCCATCATCCTCAGACTTCTTCCCATCCACCGGCTCCTCCTCTTTCATCTCGTAGTGCTCCAGATCGATGTCCTGCCGACACACAGACGCACACATGTAAAGAGAGACGCTCACCAGCTCACAGAAGACAGGAATAGCATGAGAGAAACAGACATGAACCTCTGCCATCTCCTCTTCCTCCTCCTCCTCTGACGTGACCTCATCTTTCGTTCCAAGCTACGGGAGAAAACATGCAAAAGAACAATGTTGTATGACATTTCATAACGCTACTACAAAATATAATAACGTCATCTTCTGAAATAACCTTTCTTTTGTGCCAACATGATATCGAAATCTTTCATCCTGATCGTGCACCACATGAATTCATGCTAAACATTTAGAAATGTGTCACTTTACAGAATGCACTGCAAGTATTGGTTTCATGTTGGCTATAAGGAAAGAATTGTAATAATTCAACAGAGTTTGGGTGTCACCCAGTGGTTATTTTTGGTTTAGCGCCCAAACAAAGGAACCACAATTTTTGTGATGTCAACTTCAAATTTGGAACATAACTTGGTTAGGCATATGTCTTTGATTTTATAGCAATTTTAGAATGCAACATATTTCTCAATTTTTATTTTACATAAAATAAAATTGTATGCTACATTATCTTTACTGTAAACTTAACTTTTTTTTATACTGTCTTTTTTTAAATGCTTTCACTTCAGCAATAATCTGCCATGTGTCTTATTTAAAGAGACCAACCTTAGGTCTTACAACCGTGTTGTAACAAGCATTGATAAGCAAGTGTTCTGTTTTCAGTGAATTTATACCCCAAAGTGAACCAAATATAAGAGTCAAGTTTCGGAAAAAATCATGCAATTTTATTATTTGAGTCCCAATAATATGGAAAATAGCAGTAAATACATTTTCTGATGTCTATTTATGGCTTTGCTCTTTTCAGGGTTAACTCAAGCGTGACTCAAGCTCAGCGGTTCACCTTTCTGTCCGGGTTGACAGGTCCTGCAGGCAGAGGCTGGTCCAGCATCTCCACATCGGGGTGCTGGGGGAGATTATAGAGGCGGCACAGATCACAGATCAGCCTCTTCAGCTGCTGCAAGAGCTGAAACCACACACACGCACACACTAGAGCATTACACTAAAACTACACCAGACGTGACCGAAAGCTGAACATGTGGGTCAAATATTGACCCTTAGTGGAAAAGTTCATTTCTGATCTGACTAACTAGCTATAATCAGTGTTATGAACAGTTAATAACATACACATCAAGATTTGGTTGCAGGACTCGATGCGTAATTTGTGCACATGATCCTCTTTAAGTCATCAGTGCAGGTGAGGCGAGTCTCGGACAGAACAATTACACCTGCACGTGATGAATATCTGAGAGAAAACAAACTAGACTTTAAGAGAAGGAAGAGAGCAGCCGGATCAGTGGCTTTGATGGGTTCCCTGACATCTCAACTTAAAAATACACACACACCACTGTGCAAAAGTTTGGGGTCAGTAAGATTTTCTTAAAGAAGTTATACTTTTAAACCTGGACGGTGTATTTGTTGGACATCATCTCGATGGAAGGCTCAACGTCTCGTATGCATGGATCTAATTTGAAAACTGTTAATTTATGGCATTCAGCTTTTAATGTTGTGTCCGCTTTTCTAAAATCTGTTACAGCTGCGCATCTCAGAAATACATTACAGTTTACACAGAGAAAACAGCTATTTGAAATTGTAATAATACTTCACAATATTACTGTATTTGTGATCAGCAAAATACAGAAGGCATCATTCAAAAACATTTTTAAAAATCATTCAAAAAAATGAAAAAAACGTACAGACCCCAACATTTTAAAAGGTAGCGTTTCCTAAAATAACCTCCTAATGGACCCTTTTGAGTGATTAAACAATTAACACAATTTGTATTAAAAACCTCTGCTAAACGTCCTCGTGTGTTTCACAGAAGGGTTGACATTAGAGCAAGTAAATGACAGACTGATGATCTCTTTATAAACTAATCCTTCAATCCACAGCGTCCTGCTTTAATCAGGCATGCAGCGGTCTAAAAGTGTGCTGTGTCCCAGTTACTCCATTATAGACAACAAACAGAGCACAGCGAAGCAAAGCTTCTGCTAAAAAAAGCCCAGCTGGAAGATTTTTCATTATTCACCTTTTTTTTTTTTTTAACAAAATGAGATTTAAGACCAATTATACATTAAATGTGTCCTTTTATTATTGCTTGGACAAAATACTGTGCGTTTCTTTGTGAAATTGAAATATGACACTATAATAATATACTAATATAGCACTTTATTATATTATTATACAATCATTGCTCTTTTGCTGGTTTTGATTGCCTCTATTGTCATCAGTTGTTAGTCGCTTTGGATAAAATCATCTGCTAAATTACTCAATTTAAATATAATGTAAATGTAAATCAAGCCCCAAATCAAATAAATAAATAACAAATAAAATAAATCTCTGCATATAAACAAACTAAGGTTTTGTCTGTGCTCTTAACATTTAAAATCAGAGGCACTAATATAGCACTTTATTATATTATTATACAATCATTGCTCTTTTGCTGGTTTTGATTGCCTCTATTGTCCTCAGTTGTTAGTCGCTTTGGATAAAATCATCTGCTAAATTACTCAATTTAAATATAATGTAAATGTAAATAAAACTAAATTGAAATGTTAAAACAAGCCCCAAATCAAATAAATAAGTAACAAATAAAATAAATCTCTGCATATAAACAAACTCAGGTTTTGTCTGTGCTCTTAACATTTCAAATCAGAGGCAACCGCTGCATTTTAATCTCGATCCAAACAAAGATGCTGCGTACATGCAACACCAGCCGTTTTTAATCTATATTAGATTGTATAGTTTAGAAATGTGAAGCAAAAACAGAATGGTCTGACTTTAGTTTTGTGAAACTATACATAAAAATATCTGCATGAAACCGAAGCAGCAGACGAGCTGAACGAGACGCAGATTCACTCTCTGCCAGCAGGTGGCGCGGCAAACCAACCTTTCCTTGGTTACCGCTGTAAACAAAGC